CGACAGAACCATATTGTTCTATTAAATCTCAAAACAGCACACAAATACTTATAACCTTAAAACCCTATTTTAACTTTTTCATAATGGAACGGCAACATGAGTCAATAATTAATGAGTTTTGTTAATTAGCAAATCATATATTATAGTTTACAAATTTATTTTTTTTTAATTATAAATGTAGTTTTTTGTCAGATTATAAAATAGAATCCACCAGCCAAATAACTGTATCTTTAATTTACATTATTCTAATATTTTATCTAGTAAAAAGTATTAACTAAATAAATAAAACAACTTGTAAAAAAAAAATAGAATCTAGCCCTATGGGAAATCCACAGAGCAAAACCCGGATACAATTTGTCAAACATTAATCTTAGACGTCATCAAATATTTAACCGCTGGAAAATAGACTTAAAAATCAAATTACAATGAGCTGGTCAACCTCAAAAACATCCGCAGAACAGAGAACAAAAATTAAAACCAAATGGTTTTACATTGAGCCAGATGGAAAAAATAAAGAAAATATTGTATTAAACTAAAAATCCGACCAGCTAAATAAAGATATCTTTAATTTACATTATTCTAATATTTTAACTAGTAAAAATTATTAGCTAAATTTACATTACTCTAATAAAAACTTATTTTGACAAAAAAAAAAAAATAGAATCCACAATTCGTAAATTGTGAAAATTTTCTCAAAATTTTATATTGTTATTTATTTAGTTAACTACTTAAGTTAAATAAATCGCTAATAAAACATAATTGTAAGTTTTGTGTTTATCGAAAATCAAGTTATAGAATCGTAATCACCTACTATAACTACTAATAACCCAAATACCCGAAACCAAATTGATCAGGGTCAGTAACATAAGTCTACAAATACAACGACAACAAGATTTAAACCATAATTGCCGTAATTGATCTCGATAATATATATTATTGCAAATTTTAGTAGGGGGGGTTTTTTTTTGAGTAAAAAAAGTTTTTAATCCTAATACAATACTGTTTAAAATAGGCTTTTTTTCTTTAAAAATATATTTGCAGAATTGTAAATAATCAACTCCTTTAACCCAGCAAGTACGGATAAACTTAATACTTCAAATAAATTTTAAAAAATTAGTATCTATAATTTCATATAAAATAGTATACAATGTTGTTTTAATTAGAAATAAAAAAGTAACGTACTTTATTGGAAAATTAAAGTAAGTATTTTAACATAATTTAAATTAATCGGAAAATTAACTGGATAATTGAGTTAGATTTTTATACTGGGTTAACCAATATTTTTTACTATCTCATATTATTAATATATATATATTAACCATTGTTATAGTTATACAATATGACTTATTTTTTAGAGGCAGTGTCAGTATCAAGATTGAATCCAAAAATATTGGCTAAAGATAGCATTGGCTTAATATATTTTATTGGTTCAAATGTTTATATTAACAGCTTGGTTTTTTATAATTCTGACTAAGCTGGTTCT